TGTACGAGTGGGGGCCAGAGGACGCGGCGGAGAGGGTGCTGCTGCTGCACGGGATCGGGACGCCGTGTCTGGCGTTGGGGGGCGTGGCGGGGGAGTTTGTGAGACGGGGGTGGAGGGTGATGACCTTTGGTGAGTTGCTCGCCCTTTTCTTTTTAGGAATATGTGCTGAATGTTGGATGGGCAGACTTCTTTGGGAGGGGGTACTCTGACGCGCCGACGGATCTGCCGTACGACTCGCGGCTGTACACGACGCAGATCCTCCTGGCGCTGGCGTCGTCGCCGCTGCGCGGGTGGACGGGCGACGACGCGTTCCACCTGCTGGGGTACTCTTTGGGCGGCGCCGTCGCGGCGGCGTTCGCGGCGAGCAGCCCGCACCTCGTGCGCAGCCTGACGCTGGTCGCGCCGGGGGGGCTGATCCGCTCGGCGGCGCACGTGGGCTGGCGCAGCCGGTTCCTGTATAATTCGCCGTTGCTGCCGGAGGGGTTCAGGAGGTGGGTTGTCGGGCGGCGGCTGGCGCCGGCGAAGAGGGCGGGGGCGGGGGATGTGCCGGAGGCGGAGGCCGTGGACGGCGTGGAGGAGGCCGGGTGGGATGAGCTGCGGCTTGTGGGCGGGGGACGGATCGGGGAGGTTGTGGGGTGGCAGCTGGCGGCGCACGAGGGGTTTGTGGGGAGTTATGTGTCGACGATCCGGGAGGCGCCGGTGTATGATCGCGCGGACGAGGAGTGGAGGGTGCTGGCGAAGGTGTTGGAGGCACGGAGGGAGGAGGGGGATGTGGCCGGGGCCGGGTTGAGGAAGGGGCGGGTGTTGTTTGTGCTTGGGGAGCGGGACGAGATTGTGGTGCCTGGGGAGACGGTGTGGGATGCGCGGAGGGTGTTGGGGGAGGACGCGGTGGAGGTGTTGGTGCTGAAGGCGGGGCATGAGGTTGGGGTGACTAAGGGGGAGGAGATTGTGGATGGGGTTTTGGCGGCGTGGGAGAGGGAGTGAAGCTAGATTGGATAGACATTTTGGGTGTTGGCATTTTTAGATCGGGGTTGTGTTTCGTTGGCTAGACGTTGCGTGCGTATCAAGAGTTGTTTAGATTTTGTTAGAGTACTTAGATTAGAGTCATCAAAGATGCGGCTGAGTTGAGCTGGAGACCCTTTCCGTGCTCACCCCCGTGGAGAGGAATGTGGTGTGGTAGGCCGGGAGGATTGCTAGGGTAGGTTTCTTGCAATGCCGTGTCTTGGTCGAGAGATCTGGTGTCTCATCGCCCGGACGGAAGGGAAGGGTTGTCTGGAGGGACCGAGGGACCAAGGGACCTCTCCATTCCACGGCCCGTTCATGGAGCTTTCGGTCCGGGGGTTCTAGTTGTGTGGGACTGTCGATCAGGGTCTGGTGGCATGTTGGTGAGGGAGAGCACGGTTTGCAACCTTACAGTTATTTTGATGTTTCTTTGGGAGATTTCATTCCAGTTTTGCTATGATGGCCCTCAAGAGGTGCTACGGACGAGACTTTGCTTGTGTGAATCATGAGATAAAAAGATGCGATGCAAACTAGACACAGAATCTCTCTGCAAGTAACCTAACCTATCATGCCAAGTCAAGGCTCCTGGTTCCGAAACTCCCGACGAAGACATGCGGCTCGGCGACTCAAGGTATGAATAACTATACTAAAGCAGATTGCCAGGGGTAGCAGTGGAGGGATGATTATTAGAAGACCGTCAAACACATCTGCCCATTTTCCTCTGATCGCGACCACCATGACGACTGCGCAGAAGCCGGAACCGAGGAATACTGTGATGATCACGTCTTGCCAGGAATCGTGGATTCGGGCGCTGCGGAATGAAGATGTTGAGACGGCGTATAGAATGAGGAGCAGGAGGACTAGTATCGCGTCTGGTTCTGACCAGCGGATCGCTGAGACGAGAGGTTCCCAGGTCTGAAGTTGTAAGTATCCATGGGGTCTTGTCCACGTTATTATCAACGTACCAGATTCCGCTCAAAGATGGACTCGTGTCCAGGACGCTCGAGGTTTAACCAGCCGCTGACCAAGGGGAAGACGAGAAGAGACGAGATCAATGAGAGTAAGCCTGCTGACGCGTTTCGGAAGTGATGTTGCCTGTGTGCATAGTCTCCATTTTGAGTCTTCGTGCAAGTGGTTGAAGTGAGATTCTCTCCTGTATCCCCTGGGGCTTCTGAGGTGGAATGGTCGTGAATGAGTGGGGTGACGGCATCCGCAGCGTTGTGCAGTTCATGACCTCGGCTCAGAGAGCTCATGGCACAGAAAGACATAGTCTTTGAAATGAAGTATCGCAGCTATACCGCTTTGCTCTCACGATTTCTGGAATTCAGACAGGAAGAAGACGGAAACTTTGCCAGGATTTTCGCATTTCCTGGAGGAGAGCTGATGGTCAGCTTTGAGAGCCCAATCAGCCATGAGGATATCCGTAAGCGTTGAGCGGAAACCATTCGGGCTGACTTTCTACCGATGCGGTCGGTGTTGATTGGAGATCCTTCATCACACTCGGCCGTGAGACGCACCAACGCGGCGTGAGAGCTTGGAAAGCGGAGTCAACTCTCCCAACAGGATTTACTCGCGGACTTGCGGCCTCATCTCGCAAGTCAACCACCAGGGGTTCTCTAGGTTTCCGAAGCTACTGCAATCGTGTTCCCAACCTCCGCGCGGGATATCGTGTGCTGGGGATATCGCGGACTAGTCCGCAGGTCCAGCCGGGTTAGCGCAGAATAAGGAGCCGGTGGACGGGGCCGGATACTTTGTAGGAGCCGCGTAGACACGGTAATAAGAAGCTACAGAGTGTATAGATAAGTTTATGCCATTCAAGTGTAAAGAAGCGTTCTCCCCCCCACCTCGAAAACCTTCTGTCAATATTGCATCGTGCATAACTCTACCCCTCGCGACGGGCCCGTCGTAAAGTATCTTTAGGGGACCAACCATCTGATTGGTTGGGATTGACAACTCTACACGGATGCCTTTCCGCATAGCTCAACAACAAATTTCCATCAAGCGCATCAGGAAGTCTTATCCGTGGACCCTGGACAAGGTGGGAAACTCCAACAATACCGTTCGGCCTAGCTGGGCAATAAGCATGATTCCATCGTCGGCAGTTTCGCTAGCGCCAGACCACGACCCCGCGCTGGTTAAAGGCGGGATGCAGTACGCGAACCCAATACTCTGGAGCAGCGGGTATTTGTGACCCTATCACAGCGACGTCCACCCAGCCGTGGCCTGGCCGGCGATGGCTTCGTTGGAATTCTTCCGGTGGACGCCCTGCGCGAGTCACGCCTGCGCCGACGGAGATGGCTTCTTTTTTGCGCTATGCTGAACTCAACGATACGAACACGCAAGGCATGCTTTTGTCTAGAGGAAAAATATTTCGGAAATCAGTGAAGTTATCCTTTGGCTTACGCAGGCCTCACTCGTTGCGGGCGATGATGGAAGTCAAGTCAGGTATAAGAGAGCAGGCAGTTGCCTATTTCGCAAAGAAATGCCCGTTCATAATCAACAGCACTATCATCATCTGGACATAGCTATCTTTAAAGCTCTTAATAAAAAGCTCTTAATATTCTCAACAAAACTCTTTACCATCACAATGTTCACATTCTGGCGCGTTATCGTCCTTTTCCTCCTCATCGGACCCAGCTTGGGTCTTCCGCCCCTGCGCGGGATGGTCCCGAGAGGAAGGACCAGGCCTCACCCCAACACCGCAGGCTCTACGAACGAAAAGTTCCACAACTGCAACGCGTATAAGTGGGATGTCTACCATGGTGCGAGTCCGGGTAGCGGCAAAGGAGTCAAGGAGAACTGCTGCCAAGTAGCTGGCTTCACGCCGCAGAAAGGCTCTAAGATCAAGTGCTAGGCGTAACACAATTGGCTAGCTACTTACTTGGTGGACTTAAGCCACCAATCAATAGCCCAGGATGAGTTCTCATGTTGATGGAGCCGAGGGGGATATACTTTGGGTATTTGGTGGCGGCGAGAGGCTTGACAGACGGCTGGAGCTTAGGTCATTGAGCCTGGGGATCCGGATGGAGTGTAAATCGGCCTTCCTTAAGTAGTTTATTTATATGAATTGGGATGAGACTCTGAGGTCTTTACGTTCATTGCAGGCTGAGACAGACCAAGACATTGGTCAAGGACTGGACTTGCCTATGGTTATCATAAAGCAGTGGCTTCCCATGATCAAAGTCCCGTTCTCAACCTGCTCAGACAAATCTATAACCTGAATTGCTGAAGAGCTTCATTGACGTCGGTCTGCATGCGTAGTGCCTCGGTCTGAAAGCTGAAGCCGTCGCTGGGTTAATAAGTCATGACGCACCAAGCGCGGGGTGAGCACCTCCTGGCTTGACACAGAAAATCGGGCTGTATTCAGCTTTCTCGAATCTGCTGTTTCTTTCCCCTTAGACACTTCTTCTGATTTGGATAGATTTTGATGCCAAAGCTCATCATCAGGTAGAATACTTAGATCATCCGCAAATCACTCATACTTGGGCCGCTCCGCTTATTCCCGGAGTCGCGGCCCCGCATGGCCCCGCACGGCGCCGGCTTCTGTCTCGCCGGCGACGGCATCCGGGGCCTCTCTGAAACATTGACTGCAGTTTCAGCTGCGAAGGAGTCTAGGGTGCTGCGTTAACATGACTGAGTTTTATAAGAGGTAGTTCTCTAGTGACGGATGTTGCTGGCCTCGGCTGGGGGACGTAGCTTTCGTCGAGTTGCTGTCTTTAGCCCGGGGATATGAGCAACATCAACTCCTATCTCTTAAGCTAATGAAGCTCAGGTGAGCCAACTTACCGCCTCGAATAACGAGTCCATCACAAATCTCTTATCTCTTCCCACCCTTTACGAAACATCATCATGATGAGTCGCCCTTCACAGAGACATTATCATCCTGAGTCATTTGGGATAGTATATATAATTGAGAGTGAAGAGAAGAGGAACAAAACATACCAAACCAAGCTCTCCCAAAAGCCTTCCCCAAACACTTCATCGCAATACTCAACACTATGGAATCTCCAACAGTTGCTCTTATTACAGGAGCCAATGGCGGGATTGGCCGTGCCGTTGCCGAAATCTTAGCAGCGGGCCACCACTACCACGTCGTCATCGGATCTCGGAGCCTTGCTGCCGGCCAATATGTAGCCGAATTCCTGAAGTCTCGTGGTCTGCTCGCGTCAGCTATACAACTCGATCTCACGGTCGACGCAGACATACTTGCTGCTGCCGCCTATATTTCAGAAACATTTGGCAAGCTCGATGTTTTGGTCAACAACGCCGCTGTACACTTTGACGTGAGGCACAGCCTCTCCGTCCGCGAGCAGTGGACGTCCACTTTCGCCACAAACGTCGTCGGCACTGCCGTCTTGACCGACAAACTCTTATCGCTTCTCCGCAAGTCCGAATTCCCGCGGATCGTCTTCGTCAGCTCTACTAAGGGATCGATGGGCGCGGCGCTAGACACCACCTTGGCGTTCCAAGACCTCGCATTCAATCCGTACGATGCCAGCAAGGCCGCGGTCAACATGTTGACTGTCGGCTATGCCAAGGTACTGAAAGAGGTTGGAGGAGTTGCGAATGCTGTCTGCCCAGGATTGGTCGACACCCAGATGACAGCATCTATGGGCGAAGAGATCTTGGCAAGTCATGGGGCTGCCTCGCCCGAGCTGGGCGCTAGGAGAATTGTAGAGATGGCTACGTTGGAGAAGAGAAGTGGGGTGTCAGCGACATTTTCGAGTAGAAATGGGACTATTCCTTGGTAAGACTTGAGCACCAAGACCATCTCATTCTTCATGCCTGCTTTAGGTATATATACTTATCAAGATGCCACCTCTCAACTATGCTATGAATCTTCCTAATCGTTGCCCCGCCTTTAATACTCCCCATCCTGCATCGTCACGAGACCATTCATGTACATATGCTTCACAACAGGATATGTCGCTAATGCGTAGTTGCTCTGACGACTTAGAACATAGTGCGGCGTGACTCCCTGGAACCCTTCAATAGGAATGACGTTCCAATCTGGGGTGAAAGCATGTAAGAAATAAGTTGCTGCCCAATCCAGGGGCCACGATGGCTTGATGGGAGTCCAGTCAATTTTGACTTCTCCATCATCCGCTGACGCTGTTAATCCGGCGTCAATGTCGAGCTCCAGAGTTTCGTTTTGTAGCCCAAATAACTCAATTGCGTCCTCCGGATTCCAGCCGACTGGCGCAAAAGCTTTACTGTCGAGGATGAGCACCTCGCCTGGTTCGCGAACCAGACTCTCCGCAACTCTGGTAAGACACCAATTGCTGTGTGTTGTCCACCCGCCGTTGTAGACCTTGTGCATATTTTCCATCCATAGCTTCGTCATCTTGGCACCCTTTTTCGACATGAACGTGCCGCTGTTCAAGTTTTGATCTATCTGTCGGCCTCCGACAGCCGTGAATCCGCTCTTGCGCAGCGCAGCCACATCTCGTAACACCTGTACATCGAAATCAATGTACACACCGCCATATTCATGGACGGCTTTGACTCTCATGAAGTCTGAGATGTGCTCTTTATATGCCAATTTGACTGCTTGATTCGTCTCGCGCGGGGCTTCCATCCGTTTCACTTGAAGACCGGGCATCGAGAATATTCGCGCAGCCCACTTTCCCGAGGATCCGTTGCGAGCGCGATCAATCTGAGCTTCTTTGGCGTTTGTATGGAGATATATCGTGTGTGGTTTCAGATAGAACCAGGCTGAGTACATCGATAGGTATTGTTCGAAGGCAAATTTAAGCTCAGAATCAACGTCGTAGAGTGCCCAAACAAAGTGCACTTGGTTTGGTATCTCGTCCTTGCCTCGGAGGATTTTACTCGTGAAGTTGAGACTGGTGTTCGGTCGCATTTTCATTATTATCAACGAGATGCTTATGAATGAAAGTGTAAAGAGTATGGGTAATACTGCACGGGGAATGGGCGGGCCTCTGAATAGGGATGATAACCACATTGTGATTGGAAGTGACAGAAGGAGGATTGAGATGACGGGCCTTGTAAAGGAGGTGTTCATCGAATTTAAGGCATCACTAAAAGCAGCACAAAAGTGTCGTGAACCTTCTGAATAAACTTCCAGACTAGGTTTCGGTCAGACTTCAGTAGCCACAAAAAGATCTCCGGATGTGCCGTGCGCATTGGCGGTGGTGCGGTATCCCGCCGCTAGAAGAGGAACGTTGAAACTCACGGGCGAAGATGACGGGACATGCACTCTGTGGCTCTTTCAGGCTTATAACTTTTGGCATTCTCTGAGGGCTAGTCGCACGTTTTCATAGAAAGTTACACTGTGGAAGGAGAAGATCGAGTTCCGGGTGTAGTATGACACTTCGGGTCTCCTACACACTTGCAGTAACGTAGACAGTCTGAATCACCGTGCTTCGTGGAGCGCATCGCGACTTTCTGGAGGTGCTAGTTGCGGAGACGATCGCCGCGCTCGAGTTTGATGTCGTGGACGGTACCAAAACCGCTTCAGCCGTCTGAACACTTTCACTCAACGTTGAAGAGACAAGTCCTCCAACGGGCTGTTCAAGAGACGCAGAGTTGGAGGTGAGAGTCGTCGTCGCTGCAGGCACCGTATTGTCCGCCTCAAGAGTCGAGGTGATTGCCGGGAGAGTCCAAGGAGTAGCAGTCGGGGCAATGCTGACACCCTCGGCCGTGACGTTCGCCGCAAGGGGCTGCGGCCACACGGCAGGGCCGGGCATGGTGTAGTTCACAATCCACGGGCGGTACATGTAGAACTCGATACCAGGCTCGTGGCCGGTGTACAAGCCGGGGATCTTGACCAACGGCCCCGGCACTCCGGAGCTACCGCTCGCATTCTCGACCTCGATCTGCGCACAGTTGAAGTAAAACTCGGCCCCACCGAAATCTCCCGCTCCGTGGACGCCGATATGTTCAATGCGGAGGAGGTACTGTCCTGCTGGTGTCGCTTCGGGCAACTTGAAGGTGAAGTTGCCGACGTCATAGGCACCCCACTGGATGCCCTCGCTGGAGAATGTCTTGGGGCCGAGCTCGAAGATCTTGAACCAGTCGCCGGAGCCGTCGTACTCTCGCACGTCACCCGGAGCTTTGGAAAGGTATGCCTGCATCGGGCCGGGGTGCTGGATCCGCCCGCCGAAGTTGAGGCCGAACCCAACCTCATCGCCGGCCTTCACCTTGTAGACGCCGGTCTTGCTTGCGTACTGCATGGAGTCAGTCCGGCAGCGGAGGTCTGTGCTGTCGTATCCATTCTTCAGGGGCATGTAGCCCTGGGTATTCTCGCGGACATATTCGTTGTAGCCAGTGAAGTTGCCGTTGACGATGAGGTGGGGGAAGAAGTAATGAGCGGACGCGCTGGAGATGGCAGCGGCTAAGCTAAGGAGGGTGGAAGACCTCATCTTGATGTGAGGTTGGAATGGAAGAGACTGTAAAGGATGGAAATGAATGGATAGCCAATGACTTGACCGGCACAGGAGAGGATGAGAGACCAAAAGGACGCTGTCCTGGCATCTCAGTGGTGTTGCTTGGTTATGTAGAGAGAACACCACGCCATATGACTCTGACTGCCGGCCTCCTAATTGACTGCCGTGCAATCGTCACCTGTACCTGAAAATGCCGGTTGGTCCTGTCATCACGCAAGCCGCCGACATGTTCATTCGACGTCTACCGTTCCGTTTCAAGAGCAGCCGGGGCTGGAGCGCACCCTTGAAGATGTAGGCGAATAGGCTTCAAAGGAGGACGCGTCGCTGCATGACAGTTCGTCGACCTAAGAAAACTCCCTAGGGAGGCGCACTAGGCTAATTTCAAAGCGGTTGTTCAAGAAGCACATCAATGGGGCATCCCACCGGCTGTCATGGGCGGCCCGCTTGGCTAGTGTATCCTTAATATCAAGAGCCTCTTGTCCTGCATGAGCCACAGCGCCTATCTGATAGGGCTTCCAGAAGCGCTCTCCGTACATTGGGTCGGATGCGGATAATCGTGAAGGAAGACAAGAACGTGAGGTCACTCTGCCACTGCCGGTGTAGGCGAAATAGGGGGTATCGGAATATGAGGCGCGGCTTTGCCTGTGAACTGTATGTGATCAAGAGGAGTATGTAGCATTGTTGTAATGCCCTGAGGGATACGTCTGGAAAACTTCTTTCCGAGCCGAGGAAGAACTAAAAAGCGCTCGTAAAGAGTGAGTGAGCATGGGCTTTTATTATGTGCCCGCAAGCGAACTTTTCTTCACTACATATCCTCTTGCCGATCAAGATTTATGTCGAGGTCTGTCTTCGCAATGACCTTATCTCTTCCTCGTATTCTTCGAGGTCCTTCTCTGCTTTCTCTCTGTCCCATCCAGTACCTTCTCCATCGGTGCCTGGCCACCCAGCATCTCTCATTATCTGTCTCCTCCTCAAGTCGCCCTCGCAGGGGTTGTCAACGTCGTTCGGCTGACATACGTCGCCCCGAAGAAGATCTGGCGTCCAGTTCATGATTCGATACTGCTCCTTGCAGAATTCGAAGAAGGTTTCGATGCGATAGGTCGGCATACATTTCCATCCCTCAGGCCCGTATGGGTCAACTTCCACATCGTACGGATTCGCATCCGAACACCAGGCCCAACGGGGAAGATCACCGTCGTTCTTCCACAGTATTACAACTCCGCGCTTGGTGTCGAGTAGGAGGGTCCATCCAACCTGCTCCTCTTGGGCTGATGCAAGGTCTATGATGTAACCCGGAAGTCTACCCTCTTTGTTGTCTAGCTCGGGGGGCTCGATGGCAGGCCATCTCTTGATTTCCTCAGAGTACTGCCAGTCGATATACTCAATTGGCCTAGTTGACTTCAGGATGCATGGAATACCATACGGGCCGGAAACGAAATATGGAATGCTCCTCAAAAGTTCAATGACCTCCTTCGTCTTACCCAGGCTAGCGAAATATTCGTGCGTGATTTGCGGCCAGCCGGTTGGAGGTGGGTATTCCAGGAGCGCCGCCTCTTCTGCATGCATGCGTTTCATGAATTCATAAAAGGATGTGATGGCTTTGACGGTAGCGTCGTGCGAGTACTCAGAAGACTGGGACATGTTCGAGAACGTTCGGAGCAAGATAGGTACGGAAGATGTCAAGAAATGAGTCTGATGATGTCGGAAGGGAACCAGCTTGCATCTGCCATAAATTTGAGGGTCGCGCGAAACGTTTGAACACGAGCTGGCAGAGGTGAAGTTGTTGAAGTGGACAGTTGTTCATTCCCTGGTCGCTTGGGTTTGTGTGGCCGGCCGAACCAACAGCTGAGGGTGGGGGTGGCGGAGTGACGCATGTTTGGGGGTGAATTCATGAGATATACGCAGCAGCAGAGCGTTCCAACGTCAAAACACCCCAAATCCAAGCTTTTGACATCTGATAGTTCACTTAAATTTGCTCAACCAACAAATGCACATCAGGGGCCAAATTTCTATTTGAGGAGAGCCAAGGGTGAACTCTCAGATCGCGTCCAACAATGTGATGCGATATTGTCGTTGAGGTAGGTCGGACAATCACCACGCTGAGTCTAGGTCGAACACTCGATGCCGCACACCCAATGCCGTGCTAACGAATTTCAGCTGAACAAAATAGTCGACAAAGATGGGGTCCGCGCCGTTGTGCCGCCATCGGGCGGTAAACCAGGGGTGGGCTGTTGGTTGTCGTCTGGACAGTTGGAAAGCGATTGATACCGCATTGCCTTCGAAGGTCACCGACACCCAACGCTTTGTGGATCATTGAAATCATGATGTTGGCAAAGATGTGATTAGAGATGGTGAAAAAGGTGCCATGATGTGCATTTATGTAGGGGCTATTGGGGGATGGGGGTTAGCTGGAGCCAGGAATGGGCGGCATCATGGGTCCGTTGGAGGTTAGGAGAGTCAAATCATGAAGTCCTTCACAGGAGATCAACCATAGACAGCAATATTTGAGAATATAAAGTGGTTGCTTGTAGAAGGTTCATTCGAAATAAACAATTCAGGTCAAGCTTTCAAGCATCCCATCCTTGTGGTTGTTACCTCGTTACTTCATAGTCACTTCTGAGCACATAGAAGATGCGCTTACCAATTCTTTTTGCCTCGATACACTGTATCACTTCCACCATCGCTCATGCAGGCTTCGCTCAGCCGTCTTTGGGAACTCGCCAGCAGACGACTGACGCAGAAATCATTGCGAAGTATTCTTCCTCAGGTCAATGTTTTGACTACTTCAACAATGACAACAGGGACAAATCTCTCGCTCCTTGCAAAATTTGGTGTAAGGCTAAAGGGTCTGATAATTATGGAGTAAGTGACTTAATCAGAGAGTTGCTAGCCGGGCAATGTCGACACACAAACACCCTCTTAAAGCGACTATGCTTTCTACATACTCACTTTCGTCGTCGTGTCTCGTCGTCTTCGTGTCTCGTCGTCGTCGTGTCTCGACGTCGTCGTGTATCGTCGTCGTCGTGTATCGTCGTCGTCGTGTATCGTCGTCTTCGTGGTCGTCGTCGTCGTCGTTATTATTATTACTACCCCCATTGTTTCCTCTACTGCTGTCGTTCTTATAAAAGTATTAGGTTTGCTACGACACTGTCCGGGTAGCAAAGCTCTTGTCAGAGGAATACCATTGAGCTAACTATGAATGCGCTCAGTGCAAGGGTGATGGTGTGCCGCGAGAAAACTACGTCGAGTCGTTGATTTACAAGGATGAAGATGGAAAAGAATGGGTGGCGGGAACATGCGAGTGTAACTTCGAAATCGCCGAAGAGATCTTCGATGTTGTTGTCGAAGCACTCGAAGGTATCGAAAAGGCCGTTTGCGCAGTTATGCTGGAATCTTGCAACACTATCTTGCAGCTGGGCGTCATGGCAGTCCCCGGAGGTCCCTTTCTCAGAACTACAGTCCAAGGAGCCAAGACATTCGTCGAGAATGGTCTGGATGCCGCATCTTTTTTCGACAACTGGGTCGGTAAAGCCTGTGGCATTCCTTCTTGGGACTTTGACCTTTTCGCGGTGTTCAACCCACTCGCGAACGCTCCCGACTCACTCGGAGAGTCAAAGGGTTGTCTGAGGAAGAACAAGAGCAAATGCAAGAGGGTGGATCCTAAGCCGGACCCTAAGCCGACGAACAAGCCTGCTGTTACTAATAAGCCCAACTCCAGTGCGCGAGATTCCCCAACGGCTTCGGCCACGACTTCTGCTTGCAAGATCGAAAGACGTGCCAAGGACGGCGCGGCCAAGGACGATGTGCCAAAAATATTTGGCGAAGCAGAGACGTCAACTGAAGGCTGCGGCAAGGATGAGACAATCCACATCACGAGCACTTCCAAAGACATGGGGTACTATGAGTCTGAAGTGCCAATGACTTGCTCGAAACAGTGGTCCCAGGCCTGTTTCCATTACAGGTAGATTGCCAAAAATCTTCTCGCTCTTCGTGATTTTAACAGATCTCTGACCTCTTGAGTGCAGGTCGGTGATGAGTGTTCATACGAACACCCCGGACATGGTCCGATGGACCTGCGGCGCGACCGCGGGCACCAGTAACGACGGCTCAGCGACCGACGACTGGGGTTTAGTTGCGATTCAAAAGCCGATGAAAACGCATCAGCACTGGTTTCCCTGGATGAACGGATTCGTTGCTCGAACGACCCTGGACAATAAGGGCAAGAAGAATATCAAAGGTTGCGAAAGAGACGAGTGGCCCCCGCGGTACTTTTGGCCCTCAGAAGCCGAGGCAGACAAAAAGAAATTAGTGCAGCGAATACGCTTGATCGAGTGGCATGAGAATGGCGGTGCTGGATCCATGTTCAAGGGTTTCTGCAAGAACAACGCTGCCGCGTCTGTGAAAGCGGATAAGACGTATGAGCAGAACCAGTTCGTCAAGACCATCGGGGAGGCCAAAATCGAAACACCGGAACCAAACAAGAAGCCAATTAGTAAGTTAGAAAAAAGATATTGGGGTCTCTGGAAGTCAAAACTGACCATCAACTCTTAGCGGTCGTGAGCCACGTTTCTATCAATACTCTTCGGGCGATTTTTACGATCAAAGACTGGGACGGGCTTCCGGAGGAGAAGGGTGACGCTGCGAAATGGCACGGTTTGAAGGAGAACAAGTGCTGGCCCAGTCTCTTGGCTCCCGAAGACCCTGGTTTCGCACTGCTTACAGACGACGAGTTCTACAAGCAGGGTCAACATCCAGAACTGGCCCACCACACCGCAAGCTATCGGGGCCTCCCGGATCTCCAAGTTTTGAAGAAGGCGCTGAAGGACTCGAACCCCTCGCCTCCATTTCCATACAGCGACATGGATGCCGCCGCTTATGCCAAGAGGAAGTTCAACGCCAAGTTGATACCAGACGAGTACAGAGGAGTTTTGCCAGGTATCCCGGCTCTGCCCAAGCCCGCTGTCGTGCCTCGTGTGATGAGGCGAAATCTGACTGAACTGACGGAAGATGATTCGAAGGAGCTCGAGTGGGCTGATCTCGATGTGGATGTCGACAGTTATAATGATGAAGAGTTGGATGAGTGGTTTGAGAGATATGCGGAGCTGTTGAAGAGGCGGAACATGCGAGGGTCTGGTCGAGTGTCGCCTCAAGTAGCCGTGGCCCAGCCTACACCTGTCGTCAGCACGCGGGGAATGGCAACATTAGCCATGGAGGCATCTAGACTGACCTCGGAATTTCCCCGGGCTACTCATCATGATGGGTAGGCAGAGAAGGATACTAGAAGAATGCATCACGAGGCTGATTAGTGGGTGCCGATTCTATGAAAACGAAGGATTGATGATGTTAACGTGACGAGAGAATAAGGGGTTTTTGAATGAGTTTTACTATGAGGGCAGTGTCAGTTAAGTATCCGGGCAGGGTCTACACACTTACATGCAATTTTTATATCCTACTAGACCCCCTATATATCCTAGCCTATATAGTCGCTTTCGTTGTCGCTACCGTCGTCGTCTATCGTCGTTGTCTATCGTCGTTGCCTATCGTCGTCGTCCATTATCGTTGTCTATCATCGTCGTCCATCATCGTCGTCCATTATCATCGTCGTCTATCGTCGTCATTTATCGTCGTTGTCTACTATCGTTATTACTATCGCTATCCCTGTCGGTTTCTCTACTACTATCGCCAGTCTTACAGAAGTATCAATTACGCTATTAGACGTATAGAAGGCACTGCCCGGCTAGCAGAGCCCCTTTGTATTCTCACCTTCATGAGTAGGCGAAGTGAGACAAGCCTGACGAGTTCTTAGCCATGCCATACCAAGAGCATAAGGTGATACCAATAGGGCCTTAGAAGTGCATAATCCATAAAGCCAAGAGCCTCCAGAATCGCTACGTTCCCAGTAGTCCGGATCGAAGATCTGGAGTTACAAACAGTCATCTCTCGAGTTGCTCAAGTGTGAGGCATCACATCGCGGACTGGTCGAAATCTTGGAGTGCTTGGCGGATGAGCTACTGAAGTGAAGTTATTCTGCAGGGTAGGTGGGAGGTCTGATCAGGGCGCTTCTCCAGTGGCTGCGCTGAGGAGAGGGCCAGCATCGACGATCTGTTACTTATGTTGTGACGACACGCTGTCATCGAAGTGTGTGAGTATGAGGTACGTTATCAATACTTTTCACAGCCCTTCAACAAATGTTGGGTTCCAGAGAACGCCCAAAGACCTGTAAACATTAAGTTGAATTACGGTCAGCATAAGCTGACTTGAAAAGGCGAGACCCAAATACCCTCCTCGAGCCAATCTTTGTCTCGCACCCTCCCTACCTGCATACACGCCTCCCAACATGAGCCTGGGGTTCGTTTGATTACCAGAAAGTAGTTCCTCCGCTTCAAGCAACCACAATCTCTCTGGGACGGCGATGAGGCTTGTATGTTGATGACGGCGCCAGGCTACTGTGCCTCCGCCCCGTGCCTCCGCCCCGTGCCTCCGCCCCGTGCCTCCGCCCCGTGACAAGGCCACGATCGCTGCCACGATCCACCTCATTTCCATTCACATTGCCAACATCCATCATCCTTTCTCCTGAGGTTTACCCAAGCCGTTGCCTCCAACACAAATCCTCAGAATGTGCTCTTGGTCGAGATAAGCTT